GGTAACATTGACTCTCAAATTCAGATTTTGATTCGATCCACATTACTGTTTGTTCTTTTGGTCAATTTCTGGATCCAATTCCAATTAGGCTTATAGGCTTTGAGGTTTTGATGCTACATTTGAATGGAGGAATCATATCAGATCTCTGTTTCAAAATGTTTTATGATGAATTTTGGATACTTTATTGAATGGTTTTTGACTTTTTTCATTGACCAGGATATCTTTAGAGCTTATAAGCAACCATTTGCAGTCACGTATCTTGGAGCTTCTCTTATGATAGTTTACCTTCCCGTTGCATTTCTCAAAGATTGGTTTTGTCAGTATTTAGAGAGTCGACGATCTTTAAGAAGCAATAAAGTTCCCGCATTGACAGATGCTGAGTCCTCGGTTGAGATTGGTTCTCCTTTGAGGCACAAAATCATTGAAATGGGACTTCAAGGGACTCTTACTAAGAAAGATAGTGAGGAAGATTTTGCATCTCACGAAGAAGATGTGAGACCATTGATCGGTAAAGGGAAAGAAGAAACACAGACTCCGAAACATGGGAAAGAGATCACGACAAAGCAGATTGCAATGTACGGGCTTTACCTTGCACCAATTTGGTTTGTTACAGAGGTGTGTCTTCTTTTAGCTGCTGTTTCTATAGTTTTGATGTGTCCTCTATGAACCCTTGGTAATGATATTTGTTTGCTATATTTGTTGATACAGTATCTGTCCAATGCTGCTCTTGCGCGTACAAGTGTGGCAAGCACTACTGTGTTGTCTTCAACCTCAGGACTGTTTACTCTTTTCATTGGTGCTTTTTTGGGCCAAGATACTTTGAACCTGTCGAAAGTAGTTGCTGTATTTGTCAGTATGGCCGGTGTGGTCATGACAACGCTCGGGAAAACTTGGGCTGCTGATGAGTCGCAACTAAATTCTTCACTGTAAGTTTGTCTATGTTACTCATCCTTAAAACCCATTCCACCATGCATCTTTTCCTGACATTTTTTTCCTTGAAAGTGTAATTCAAAAAGCTAAACCTTAACTGCAATTTAAATTGATAGATGAAGTTTTGTATCAGTGGAAGATTATGTATTGGAACGGTCTCATTCTCATAGAATATTTTTTATTACATGAGTTTTCCAATTTCATCAACCATATTCTTTTAACGTACAGTTGATATTTGTGTTTAGCAACGGGGAACGGTCCCTTATGGGAGATCTCTTTGGGCTTCTCTCTGCAGTCTCGTATGGACTATTTACAGGTTAGAAATGATTCTTTTTATTTGATCTTCCATTGGTTTAGATTATTTGTGTGTTGGGGAGGATAATCTCATGGCATGTACCCTTCTGTTATCGACATCACAGTGCTTTTAAAGAAGTTTGCTGGTGAAGAAGGAGAAGGAGTTGATGTGCAAAAGCTGTTTGGATACATAGGATTGTTCACACTTGTAGCTCTCTGGTGGCTTGGTATACTAATATTTTCCATTTCTTCAAATTTTCATCATGGCGATATGTAAAATATGAAACATGGACTTTTATTAAACTGTTTGTCGCTTTTTTTTTGGGTTTCAGTGTGGCCATTGACAGCATTAGGGATCGAACCCAAGTTTACCATACCGCATTCTGCCAAAGTGGATGAAGTTGTTTTGGCTAACGGTTTTGTTGGAAGTGTCCTCTCTGACTATTTTTGGTATGTTTCAGTGCTTTCAGGTGTCAACTTTTAGCAGATTAAGTGAACCCAACAATAAAATTGTTGAATTTGATATTGACAAGTCCTAGAATCCTCAAAAGAGATATCGCTGACAAGTCTCTAGAATCCTCAGTAGAGTTATCGCTTGGCTAGCTCCCAAGAAAGATATGTGAATGTTTAGAAAATAACTTTGCTTTTTTCGTGATTTTGCAACCAAAAGGGCACTTTCTGTGGTGTGGACGACTCCGCTAGTAGCGACACTGGGTATGTCTCTCACCATTCCACTTGCGATGGTTGCTGACATGATGATTCACGGTCGTCATTATTCCGCCATTTACATTCTTGGCTCAACTCAGGTAACTAAATAAACTCATATTCTATCAACACCAAGAGAGAATGAAGAATGAATGCTTGCTGCTCAAGAATTTGAACAAATTGTGTGTGTGTTTTTTTCCAGGTGTTTGCTGGATTCGTAATAGCTAACATCTCGGACTTGTTCTCAAAGAAGCTTGGTTTGTAACAATGGCTTTCAAAAGCTTTGTCAATGATTCTTTTGTGGTGTTTGTGGGTAGAAATTTGTATCCTAGATTCCATGGCTTGTAATGAAATAGTTAGCTTATAAGGGGTTCTTCCCTGTTAAATGAATGAAAGAAAAGAGTGTGATTTACCAATGTTTCTGATTACCAAAGTGAGAAAATAGATAAGTGTTGGCATTGCGAGATATGGAACCGTCATTGGCTTTCTTTAGACCATTGCAACTTCTGTCGCAGCCTATCCAATATCGACCGACCTTTGCGTATCCTTTCCACAATCTTGGGTCTAAGTAACTTAATTTTTTGGCCGCGTGTGTTCCTAAACAATCCATTTTTCCTAACTGGAAATTTGTAGGACGTAAAATTGTTTAATTAAAGCTCGCAATAACGGGAATGGAAACTGTGTCGTCGGTCAAATGGACAAAGATTTAAACATATTTTTAGAACGTTGTTGTATTGGGGTCGGTTTCCTCAGTTCTCTCCATTTCTAAAAGATCCTTCATTCCACCTTATTCAAGCTTTTTCCAATTTATAATTCAATTTTTTTTAATAATATACGATGTAATTCCCTAAAATTAGATATGTAGAATAAATTTACAAGCTTTTATACTTATTTGTAGTTAAACATTTTTTTTTTCAAATGTTTTTTCTTGCTATATTTCAACACCGAATCACATCCATTTCATGGAATATATGTATATATGATTCTAGAAAGAAATATTTCTATAAAACGTACAGTAAATATGAACTAAAACCCTCAATTCCTTAATATATATGCAAAGTGTTTGGGGGGGAAAAGTGTTTTTCGCAGCAACAAACAAAAGTAAAGTGTTAAAACTAAATCAAATTCACAAACTCTGCTCTATCCAATAGTGAATTCACCTAATCTCATATTGGTAACCCAATTTATTAATATGAAGTATGTATTAGCATCTTATTTTACGGAAAAGAATATACATTAGCGTCTCTTCCTTAGTTTTTTTAAGGGTCTCCTATATACGTATATAGGTAGGGAACGTTTAATGATTATGCTTATTAAGATATTGCGGATTTTTATCTAAAACAAAGAGATCTCTGCTTTGTCGAACAAACGTAAGGAGATTTGTCTGTCTCTCATCCCGATAGAATTCGATCTAAAAGTTTTATCATAATAACTAGAAGAGGATGAAATGTTCTGTTTTTAACTTTACCCCATGAACATATGGCAAAAAAGAGTAAGTAAAAACAAAAAATAGG